CGGCCAAGTCGTGTGGGACACGAGTTGCTTGTTTTTGAATGTTAATAAGTAGACAGTGTTAATTTTTAATAGCATAGTATTGGGTGTATTATTATTAAAGCACTTTCATGTCGGCTTTATTGTTTCAGATTTATTTTCATAACGGTGATCAATGTATTTATGTGACGGGAATCGTTAGTTTTCTGTTTTGTTTGAGATACAGTTAAATTTTTTTTTTCCTTCTAATCTTAAAACAAGATGTGCTTCAGCCCAATACGTTAATCACCGAAGGTGGCTGGATGCATTCAAAGTGGCTGGATTGCCTCTCATAGAAAGATCTTGTATTGCTTTTTGAGCGTGCGCAGACCAAAACCTCCATGGCACAGACTGAGCGGCACGAAGAATTCCGTGTGTATAGCCTTGCATGTAAACGACGTGTTGGTTTTATTAATTACCTCAGTGCTCAAAAGTATGAACTGCTGAATCGTGAGTGCTAAGTCCCCAGAAGACCGCGATGCTCAAAACAACTTAGTCCTGAAAAGTGTGCTAAGCGGGTGGGATCGTGTGCAGCTCGAATTTTTTTTTTTATACAATACTGCAGGCCTAGGGCGGCCCAAGCAGGAGTGGTTTGTTTGTATATCATGATGAAAACCAGATTTAAACAAAAACAAAAAAAAGAAAATACAAATTGAGAGCAAGAAAGAAATAAGCAATGAGCAATCGAAGAAAAACACCAGAGAACAGGAGAGAATATCAGTGCACAATTTCAGACATATGGCACATAAGGAACGTAAGGCCAGCAATGAGCATCAACAGTAGCGTAGCTCAGATTTTACAGAACTAGATATGGGAACCAACACAGGATAAAGGCACCGTTACAAAAGGGAATTCTGCGAGCTGGTTAAACAACTGAAGAACATTATTTATAAGAAGGTTTCATAGTGTAAGGCATTCCAATCACGTAAGGGTGCACGGGAAAAAAGGAATTGTTGGAATTTGTTTGTGCGTGCAAAAATCAGGTTAAATTTAAAAGGGTGAAAGTTCTGGTGGGCTATGGGCAAAAGGTTAGATAAGGAGCGGGGTCGAGTGCAAGGTTAACGGTTCCAAAGCTGATAAAGAAATTTGAGTCGTGGTTATTTACGGCGGCTCTGTAAGGTCATGATTATGTTTGATTGCATTAAAGAAGGTGGCGAGTCAATGTCGGCGGTAATCGATTATATAGAACCGTGACAGCCAACCTCTGAATTTGTTCAAGTTTGTAATGTCTTTTTTAGTGTACGGGTCCCAAAACGATACACGCGTATTCAAGACGAGGCCTGAGTACGGGTTATATGCAAGAAGTTTAACATGGGAGGGGGAGGTTTTTTTAGTTTGTGACGTAAGAGGCCGAGCTTACGCCGAGTTGATGCACAGATTTTGTCGATATGCATTGACCAGGTTAGATTATTTGTAATATTAAGCCGAGATATTTAAAGCTATTGGTTTGAGAAAATTCGACTCCCTTTACGGAGTAATTGAACATAAGAGGACATTTTTTATTAGTTATGCGCATGTACACAGTTTTAGTTTGGTTAAGCTTCATTCCCCAAATGTTGCACCGATTAGATATTAAATTCAGGCTGTCGTTGAGGGTAATTTGGTCATTAGTTGATTCAACAGCTCTGTACAGAAGACAGTCGTCCGCAAATAAACGAATAGCAACGCTTTCGTGCACACAAGAGGTTATGTCGTTTATATATACCGTGGACTAGAACAGTTTTGCGGTGGGTTTTCTTTTGGGGGGGGGGGGTAAACCGTACTCAGTGTATGCTCGTGCATGCGTTTGCATAAATATGAATGCAAAATGAAAATTTTGGAGGGTGGGATTGCCCTCTCTCCTTCCCCTTGTTACGCCAGTGCTGTGGCAATTGTTCCCGCACATTGCAGTTGTTATGTAATAAATGAAGTAGTATTTCAAGTATCATAAAGACAGGTCTTGTGTGCAAATCTCATTTTTCAGGCACCAGTCGAACCGATTGTCATCATATCGCAGACTTCAAAGCGTCTTCTATGAGGCTTTTCACGTATTCGCAAATCATTACATTTCATACCCAAACATTGTTGTGTGCTCATACATTAACCACAAAATGGAGGTAGAATCAGGCTTGCATATGTAGTCAAGCTTGTAATCTCTGTGTTTTTGGCCCTAGAACATTATTTTCAGCATGAAAACACTGCCGACCAGTAGTTGAGGCTTCTGAGAATGCGTGAGAAAAAAATTGTAACAAATGACGTCCCCTAGTCGGGTAGAAATCATTTCCTTTTCCTTCTACAAATGATGCCACATATCCAAATGGCCACGCCATATACCCGAAGTCCATGGCCATTGACTCATTTGAGCATCGTGAGATGCATATCGCGAGGCAACTGCCTACAATGGGATCCCGTACTAGCAATCCCCGCCTACAAGTTGTGGGTGCTGTCCACTTAGTAACAATCTAAATCCAAATGGTTTGACCATTTAGGTCAAGTGGTCAGGCCAATATATTCCCTTTGAAAATAACATCAGCTGTCAATTAAGAGCAAACCTGACTTGTTAATCTCATTATACCGAACACGAGCTTCGAAATATTTAACCATTAAGACATTATAAGCCATGTTGTTGGATTGCATGAACTTAATGTCAGTGAACGTTACCTGTGGACAAATATGTAAAACAAAAAATTGCTCCTTGAACGTCGCGTCCATGTGACCTCACTTTATCTGGGTCACCATACCATCAATTCCAGGTTGTGCCAGGTTTCAGCAGCCAATAGGTAATTTGTGTGGCAGACTCCATAATGCTAAGATAAAATAACTGCTCGTCATAAACCTTACTATATCTTCTTTCAAGAGTGATGGTGTAACTGTAAACTTATTTCTTTGAACTTTGCTTTTTTGCTTTGCAGCTTTACTTGTTTCTGTGACATGCGCAGCGTAGCAATGGAGACCACGAGGTTGAAATTGACATTAGAATCTTGCGGTGTGGAGGGATGCCTAATTCACACCTAATTTTTATATTTGTCATGCAAATTTCAATAATTGTTCAATCAACCTGACCCTTTATACACATCTCTCAACTGGCAGAAACTATCCAAGGAAGCACTAAGTGTACTCTCATATAAAAATGTCAGATTCCAACGCTGCATACCATATGGACTTGTAATGATGTTCAAACATTCTATTCACAAGAGGAATGTTATTGTGTGGGTTGAACTAAATGAAATTGCACAATCAACTGGGCTATCCGATATTCCTTAGCCTGTTTGGCAATGTGCGTACAGAAAGTGTTTTTTGTCATTGCCTGTAAATAAAAATTAATAAATTGTAAAATCTCAATCACAGCACATGAGCTTCAATTATCTTCGAAACATGCGAGAACAGTAGATGGAAATCTCTTACGTGCTCCCTTGTTCGCTTGCCTTTGTATCTTGTGATGACGAGTGTGAAAATTTATGGCTCAAATGGCAGATTACAATCCTAACCTGGTGATGGTTATTGTGATTGTAAGTCTTCACATTCCAATTACTATGTGATGTTCAAGTTCTTCTATACCACCTATTATGTAATGACAAGTACGTATGTGCAATCTGAAGTCTGTAATAAATTTGGATCGTAGAAAAGATTTCTCATTGCAGAATCATGTAGGATATTTTTAGGCTTGCCCTAAACAGTCTTCTTGTAAAAAGGAAATGCACGACAGTGCTGTTGTAACAAGGTTAAGGAATGGCAAAAACGGCTTTATATTAACGGCTGTCTTAAAAGTTTTAGCACCTGGAAGAGCCACTTAGGAGTATTTAGTTTACCACAATCATCCACTCTTTATTGAGAGTGTATGTAAAACTAATATTTTTGTTTCAATAATCACACTAACAAGAGTGAAATCTACAAAAGTGTGATAGGGAAACGGGATCTGTGTTTGAATTGCAAACCAGAGGCAGTGACTGTAGCAAGAATGATGGGATGGCAGACCCAGCATATTTCTTGGAATCTACTTTAAACAAGAGAGGAAATGATTATGTAAGCCCAAAGCAGACACAGCAAATTATATGACTACATGGTGAGCTGGCTTGGGAACTTCTACCTGTTTTCTTTTTTTTTGTTTTTAAGATTTTCTGAGAGTTTTAGGCTATGTCTCTCTTCTCTAGGTAGCAGTAGTACATTTGTATTTACAAAAAGGCACAAGTAATTTGTCGTCTTTTCTCTTTTGTGCCCTTTAATTGAATCAATGATTTAACCATGTTATCGTGTAGATAGAACTTTGTTACGTAAAGGTTTTTGTTTTGAAAATGCAAGGGGGAGTTTTTCCTCCATCATCGCACAGTTTTAATTGTGATACAATGAGGGATTACACGCACTTTGCAATTTCAGATTTATTCTGCTGCACTTCATGTGCCTTTAAGAAGAATGCATATAGTCGAATCTCAAAGGGTGGTATGAAGCCACGGTCTTACTAAGCTTGACGGTAAACATCTCCCTGAAACACCTCTGCTGACATTTACCTAATCTATTCCAATACTTCAAGTGTAACATGCGCTGGTGGACCCATATGACATAGTACTAGAATCAGCAGCAAGCCTTGTTATGATAACTGGCATGTCTTTTTGATAAAGTCTACTGTGCTTCCACCTCAAAATGCATGCCACATTTCAACTATAGACCATTTTTATTTATGGTAAAAGAATTTTTACCAACGCGAGGAAATGGACCGATGAAGGGAGTTTGAAAATCTTATATTTGAAACTTGCACAATTTCACTATGAGCATGCACACCTTCGGTAAATAAAATTTGTCCAACAAAATATTCAGGGATGAGAAATAACTTTGAAAATGAACACTATATCTGAACAAAACATACAACCTAAATGCGGTTAACATGGGGGCTATGGTAGCAATCAGTCACATACAGCCATTACATTGTTATCATTATTTTCTTGGGGTCTTTGTTCATGGGATACATCATTTAAAGGGGTAAATGAATGCAGCAAGTACTGGGAAGACTATTTGACAAAGTGATTGTAGATTTTATTTCTGTAGCACAGATTTACATTTTTCAGATGGCTTTCCGTTGGTAGTCGGGAGGTGCTATTGTGTAGTCATTCAGGCTGAACAGCTGCGAGTTCCTAGCCATGTACCTAGAACATAAACAAACAATATGTTTTTTTTGCATACATAGAGTAGATGTTGAAAATGAAGGCAGGCAGTGCTCCCACGGTGAAGTACTACTTTAGTGAACAGTATAAAGTAACTCACGGTTTTTTCTGTCAATATAAAGTAACGCACAAAATACTTTCACACACAACTGTGTCATGCAACCATTACACACACAGACATTTGATAACCTCCTTAGACCAGTTTTTTTATAGCGAGAGGCAATGCTAAGCAAGAGACAATGCCAAGCTAAATGTGAGGAACCATAATGATTTAAGAGATGCACACGTTTTCAACCTGCACCTGCACTATAGATCTCGAAGCAAAGTAACTGTTGAAATTAACTAAACACATTCACGTAGCGATGTATGCTTCACTATTTCAAGGCATTATATGTATACAGTGGTGACCCAATAGCACATTTGCATCAATTCTATATTCCTGCGCCTTGCTGCGCACACTCGAGTACTAACTGTGCCAAACTTCACTAGTTCACCTGTTTACACCGCATCAGATCGTTTAAGGCCAAAATTATTCTTGGTCGTCGCAACAAACCCATTAGAGCTTTTCACAATGCCGCCAATTCGCTTTGCTTGCTCCTAACCGAAGTACCTGTGCTGCTGTGGGCGTCTCCGTAGTTGAAAGTTTAGCATGCGGTTGATAACCTCTCGTATTGTTATAAAACTGGCGATAACACGTAGAAAAGTGACTTTTTTTTTCGTTCGCAACTGATGTGGGGTACCATAACGTATCCACCACCGCCAATGGGCAACAGGTATCGGCACTGTGTGCTATCAACAGCCTATTTACGCAAATTAGAATTCGGCATGAAAATCTTGTTTGATTTTGACAAAGAAAAAAAAATTGAGGCCGCTATGTCGTGCTGAGCAACGTTTTTCGGTATGCCTAATGTAAGTTAAGCATAAATATCCACGTAGGTGCGTCTGGCACGATGTGGTACAGCTGCCGCTTTCTTATGTCAGAGCGCTTGTTGCACGTCTTAATTGCAAAACCGATGAAATGCCACGGTTAGCCAGTGCACATTAAAAGTAACTGAGCCGCGAAGTTAGCCACCTATAAAAAACAAGTGCTCTTATGCATCCTTAACGCTGTTTGAACAATAAAGTGTATGTCGTCAGTCGACAAAAAAAAGGCAGTTACACTGCAAGGGCTGGCTCGTTTGATATCCTATGCAACCACACTCGTCGCCCCAGCTTACGCTGGGGGATCTTGTCAATTTGGACTTTATAAGCTACATGACGGCTGCTGCAAAACCTGTTGAGACTCTCTGTATATTGCTGTCACAATAAAAGGTCAAATAAGTTTCCCCAGCTTGTAAATTTTTCCCAGTGATTCCCTCACACTTGACAACTGCGCTTGCAAGCGGGCTCAGCTTGGCCGCCGTTTGTACGCGAATCCGACGTTGATTTCCTTCTCCCCGCTCTCTCCAAATAAAAGAAAAAAATGGTAGCACTCCTCCTAGCTAACAAGTTTGTTGTCATTTCGCCTGTTCGCAGACACCATAGTTATTCCCCAACCATGTGAGTAGCATGGGCTCACACCCACCCATCGAACCTTGACAACATATTTAGGTGTAAAATTCGTGAACACGTGGCATTGCTAAAGCCAACATTTCAACAAACGGATGTCTCCTTCATGACTGCCTCGCAGAAATACACCCCCCCCCCCCCTTCATGTTTAGATGGATCTCTCACCCTGCCCCCTTCGTATAGGCTGTTTACATTGTGCCAGTTAATTTTTTAGAGTACTTTCTTTTGTTAATCTAGAAAACTGGAAGTGCTAGGGCTGAAGTTCTTTAAATTAAAAAGAAAATGTCACTCTGTGCTCACACCTCTAACAATTATTGAATAAGATGGAGCATCATTCATGAAAAGTAGTGGTGATTATTTGATGCACTGTCTATGCAATCAATTTCGAACAGTATATTCTTACTTTATCGCGTTTACTTCATTTTCATTCTTTGTTAGACTGCTGGTTTTCTGATTACGGTCTTTTCCTCGGAATGACCTCCTGACACCTGTCATATTGCAGAAGCAGTATGTGGCATGCTTGCCTTGTCACTAACACATGTAACCGTCCTTGTCGCTTTTGCACGTCACGCACGACTTGTGCAGTGCTCATAATGTAACACTTTGGTGTAAAGAACCTGATTGAGGGGCAGACTGGTCTTTAGAACCAAAAAGTGACAAAAAATTCATTTTTTAAAACTGGCAAGCATTTTTCTCTGCCAATTTTGACACACCAGGAAGTGGCAATTTTTTTGTAATGTCATTCTAACTGTCCGATTCTCGGTGCTGTTAACATGCAGAACCTGCAAAAAAAAATAGGGAACGGACTTTAGCGCTTCCTTATAATTTGCCGGGACCCATGTTAGAAGCTCTGTAATGAATTTATGAGCACCCTTATGAGGATTGCAAAACATGCGCCCCATGATTGTTACTTTTTGAAGAAGCTGTGCATTTTCAGTTTTTTTCATTTCTTTTTTACGACTTTTCAATTTTGAGGCCTCAATGTCTCTGCAGCTAGGACAGGTACAACAATAATGATTATTGCAATAGAAACTTGTATGTGTGTAGAATGCGAGTATGGGAGCAGAATTTAGAGCACAAGCCTTTTTAATTAATTACTCATCAAAATTGTAACACAATCCCAACTGCTTTTGAAAATGGATAGTTCATTTTGCTTTGAAAACACCAAGGCCCAAAAACAAAAACAACTCTTGCGTACTTTCAATCTATAGTCATTAGTCTATGTTGGCATATCTTAAATATCACTTATAATTAAGCACTTTTTTATCTATGGCCCTTAAACAATAGGGGGTGAACTTAAGTTATCTCAGGAACAAGATGAGTGACAGGAAAACTACTTAAATATCTGAAATCAGCAGAAAAAAGTGCATAATCTTCTGCAGTTTGATCAAGATCACTGAAGAAATAAACAAAAAATGTTTTAGACCAGTCTGCCCCCTTAATGGCTGCTCTATATGTCGCCTGTCTCGGGGCTTACATTGCGGGAACATTTGCAGTTTGTACACTAATAAGAATATTCACTGAAGATTATTTTTTTTTGCACTGAATGATTCTAAATTACACCTTGTTTGCTCCAAACCTGCTCCGACACACATTTCCTCCTACTCCAAATCGTAAACTGGCTGGATCACCACCGTGACCAATATGACAAGACAGAATGAAACTCACTTGAGAAAATCGTGAATATGATGTAGCAGAAGCTGGACACTCGTCTCGTCCAGCGGGGTATAAGCCAACATGCTGCCAAGCCTGAATGAAATATAGGATAAGCTTCCTCCATAAGTTAATATTCCTGCAGCCATAACCACTTGTACAATAAATACAGAACCTGAACTTTTAATTTGTGAGAGTTGCGAGGAATGTCCAAACTTATAAGCAAGTTTGTGTGAGTGTATACATATATATATGATTCAAAAAAGAAGTTCTGTGGGTCCGCTGCAAATATAGTTAAGAAATAAAGGAGCACACTTACGAAAATTTCATAGTTGTTTACTCTACGTTACGGCCGTGGCACGGCCGAAAGGTAGAGTTAACAAATATCAAATTTTCGCAAGTGTGCTTGTTTATTTCTCAACTATATATATACATATAGTTGACAAGAAAATTTTCAATGGCACTGCCAACAACTGCACAAAAGAAAAAAAAAATGCACAAGTTCACACTTCCAGAGGAGTCACTTTTATCTGACATCCCTATGAGCTAGTATTAGGCCTGCTTTGAGAGATGGTGCCACAATGCCTGTAGACGCTTTTACCTGCATTGCAACACAGCTGCATACGTTAGGCAGTGTCCATGGTTTGTCCTACAAAGTGAAACAATGGTGCCCATGCAGAGCAGTGCATAGTGTGGCGTGTCGTAGTGAGGTGGGATGCGTCCTTGCGAACATGCAATACTACTATATGCATTTGAAGATTGTTACTTCTGCTATAGTTTCCAATGACTATGCTTTATGAGTAGTGATTTCATGATTTGTGTCTATATTGGAGAGCCAGCCACACTTTTATTACTACCTCAGACAACATGCGACTGTTGATGCACTGTTTGGCTGCTTTGTCGGCAAACAGCTCTATTGCAACAGTTATTCACATAAAAATGCAACTGCTCAGCTAGAAGCAATAAAGGTAACAATTACTTTCAGGCACAGACAACCGAAAAGTATTAATTGACTGACTTTATGCAATGAAGCAGTTCCAATTACGTGGCATCAAAATAATGAGCACATAGCAGGCTAACCTAAAATAAAAGTAAATTAGGACAAAATTGCATAAAGTTTCACACTATAATACCCAGAAGAGAATTTGATGCTAGTGTCCATGCAGGCTTTTGAGTGGCGCTTGCGCCACCATGGGAATGATAAAAAGTACAGGCTTCAGATGGATTTCGTTTGCAATGCAACGCTTGTTAAGATTTTCAAAACAAAAGGTTATTACATTATATTCACTTAAAACTTACTTAAACTAAAACGTATTGCAGAACATTAAGTATAGCCTGAAACATTTTAACCATCAGGGTATGCATTGCTCTGTAACTGCGCTCCGGATATGGCATCACCAAATAATGAATATTTTATTAATCTCAACACATTTGTTTTTCACTTCAAAGCAAGCATCATCTATTTATAAATAAAGATACTGCATTGGGCGAGAAACAGGTAACTTATTATCTGCTGCAATGAGAAATGCATTTGCATTGGTAATCTGCTTCCAACACATAAACAGAGGCAGAGGAGCGTGACGATGAGTCCATGTCAATTTGCAGCCGATTTGAATGACCTTCAACAAGATGCACTTATCAAAAAACATGAACTGTATGCAATTTACTGCACTGGCATGAGACGCTACATCTATGCACAGCAGTGAGTGCAAAAGACTTTAGTACAGCTGTTGAGTACAACTCGTAAAGCTGCAACGTCACAGCAAACCGAGAAACCTAGTAGTCTTCAGCCTGTTTCAACAACAAAAGCACCATTATTGAGTGCCTTGCACTGCACCCCGCTACGAAAAAAAAATAAAACAAACTGCAGAAAAAAACTGTAGACAGTTTGCTAGCTAATTGATTGATATGTGGGGTTTAACATCTCAAAACCACTATATATTTATGAGAGATGCCGTAGTGAAGGGCTTCGAAAATTTCGACCACCTCGGGTTCACCCAAATGCACCCAAATCTGAGCACACGGGCCTAAAACATTTCCGCCTCCATCGGAAATGTGTGCTCAGATTTGGGTGCACGTTAAAGAACCCCAGGTGGTCTAAATTTCCGGAGCCCTCCACAACGGCGTCTCTCATAATCATATAGTGGTTTTGGGACGTTAAACCTCACATATCAATCAATCCATCGGAAATGCACCTGCCGCAGCCGTCATTTGATCCCGCAACGTGCGGGTCAGCAGTCGAGTACCTTAGCCACTAGACCATTGCAGCGGGGCTTGCTAGCTAATTCAATCCAATTTGAAGCCTGTAAGCCTGCACTTCCGATTAATACCATGGTGGCTTAATAAGTGCAGCGCCAGTTTCAGCTCAAGGTTATTGTACGAAACTTTATGTGACCTCGAGTCTACTGCTCAGGCATTGCAGAGTAATGCCTCTCAAAAGGGCAACTCACCGAATAGCCTTAGCAGGTGAATGGCACCATATATTTGTGACATAGAAGTGTCCGGCCTTTCATTTAAAACCTGCGTGTACAATAGAACATTAACTCGGATCACAATCTACAATACCTACTTGGCACATGATTACGGAGCCCAAGCTAGCATCACTAAAGAAGTTTATGACATCCAATGTGACACAGTTAAACTTTTATTAAAAGCAATTAGCAACTCATTTAGCTGCTTTAGCGGCAGTGGTATATTGCTGCAGAGTACTAAATGGTTGCAGGTTCAATACCCAACCAGTGTGAACAGGTACTTCCCGAGGGGGCGGAATGCAAAATAAATGCATTTGTGAATCTCTTCGCTACATACAGAGCTTTAGTGCAGCTTTGGGAAGTTTAACAGCCAAATGGAATCAGCTTCCTGCAGTTACTACAGTTTAAACTGCTTGCTGTATGATGCAAAAACCATTACAAATATGAGTATAAGTGAACAAAAGTCACACAATTTGCACAGAAAAAAAATTGGGGCACTTTTTTTTCAAATCTAACATACACAGTGAAATATGAAAGTTGTGGAATAACGGCAATATTTTGTGTGCAAGAGCACATGCTAAATGGCATTTGTGATCCCTGCCTTCCTGTATATGTTAATGTACTTAATCTTTTTTCGCTTGGTAGTGTTTAAGGTATGCACATGCAAATGCATACTCACACGTACTGAAGACGTCTGATATAAGCATTCAGTTTTCTTTAAAAATATGTGCACCGGTGCAGGCCATTCCTAAAAGGATGGAAATCCTGCAGACTCAATGGGGTCATAGCGTGGTTGCCCACCAATTGTGTTCTTCAGTGAAGTACAGAAATAGAAAATCTATTGTGCCTATACGTGTATGAAAAATGGCCTGTAGAAATATACTTCATTGCAAAATGAGCCATTGAAGTCACTGGCTATAAACCCAGCCCACCATCGGCGACCACCATTTTGCCATAGCGTGAGTGATGTCAAGTGACACATGGAGGGTAGCTATCGTGTTCTACCCAAGTTTCAGCAGCTGCAAACCGTTCAATTTTTAATGCCAAAATGAGATAGCTCTAATATTGCCACTGCATGCACAGCTGACCATGAAGCAATATCATTGGCGAAATACAGACGTTTAAAAAAGAAGTGGCTTGTTACGTCATGGCTCGCAAAAACACCACTATTGTCATACTCCTGGGCCACTCGCATGTTTATAAAAATGCTCATTATAAATTAGGCTCTTGACCTACTGCACTGAAATTTCGCCAGCTTGTTTGTGAACACCCAAGTATTGACCTATATGACACAGATTATGAGCGAAAATTCGGTGTCAGGGCCGCTTTAACTAAAGTCAAATCCCCCTACAACGAAATTGATAGGACGTGTGAAAAAATCTGTAGTCGCGGAATTTCGTTGTAGCAAAATTCATCTACAAACCACAAAATTTGGTAAGATCTGACGATGACTCGTCCTTTGGTCCCTTCAAGCGCACGCATTGAACTCTTGCCAACTCAGACGTGCCTGGCCGAGCACTAAGTGAACGTATTTTCTCGCGTATACCCTAATAAAAAAAAATAAAAATTTTGAGCTGAAGTTGGGGTGCGAATTTCAGAGAATTTGAGCACGCAAGTGGGCTTCACAGCACGGCTCACGGCAATGTAATGAAGGCAGCCTAGCGTCAATACGCGAGTATTTTTTTCTTCCTCCCGTGGTTTGCGGCCGGGGATGCCAGTTATATGCAGCGGTAGGTTGTACAGAAGAAAATATGATATTCAGACGAGGCGTGCCGAGTGCACATCGCTGCGAACGAGCATGCCAAAGCTTAGCTAGAGACCAACTGATAACTGCAATTAACTGTGATGAAGCTGCACACTACCGTGGCCATAAGTGAACAACAGGAAAGCCACAATGCTTCGTGTTGTCTAATGGCTTTATTGCCTTTAATCTACGGCTCTTTAAACTGCGCACCTTCAGGTCATATTCGTTATCTATCAAGAAGACGATAGCAACCAACCATGCACGGTTTCCTGCGCAGCGGTTCTGGCAAACAATACTAGCTTCGTTTTCAATCTGTGCGCACGTGATTTAAGAACTGCATCATTGCTATCTTTGTTCGCATCGTTACAGAAAGAAATATTGGGTTGAGTCGGTGCGTGTTGACTGCCCGCGTACTTTTGTGAAACGGCCATGATCGTGTTCGACACCACAGCATTTGTGTTTACAGCAATTGCAGCAGAATGCAATCACGCTGGGACTAAGTGCGCGCTGCTCGCGTGTGCGCCTTCATGCGGTGTGGTTGTTATTCCCGATCGCAAGGCTAGTGATGAAGAGCATAGTTTAGTTTTGAGCATGACGTCAAAATATATGGCGGGGTTTCTTGGAGATCGCGATTATGCCGCAGCCCATACGTACTTGCATCAGATCTACCGGCAGCATCATGGTGGGTGGGCGAGCTGTCGCAGAGCATCTCAATGACGATAAATTTAGCAGGATGTGCGTGTGGTGGCAAAAAGTGTGTATCTGTTGAAAACACAGTTGTTGCGATACTGCCTTGCACTCTGGGTGTCAGACGTCGAGAAATGGTCGAGTGGAATTTCGCGGCAATCGAGGCAAGCTTCTTTTTATTATGGGGTTGTACTCGGAAAACTTCGTTAAAACAGAAATATCCAGGAAAGGTATTCGTTAGATGAGCCATTTTTAACTGCTTTCTATGGGTAGCTGATGGGGAATCGACAAATCATTCATTATGGCGGAAATTTCTTAGTAGCGGAATTCATTGTAGAGAGATTGGTTCTTAAACGCGCATTCTAGCATCCAGAGTCGTCCCTCACCAAACTCAAACACAGCACAAGAATAAAGATGTCAGTAATAAAAAT